GTGACAGACTCCGTACCTCGCCCTAGACTGGATATGGCAAAAGAAGTCGGAGGCACTAGTAGATACTGTATATTGAGCTCGCTTGGCACAATTCGATTCGTGAGGCGGATATTCGTGCCTGGTCCAATAGTACTATGTACAGGGGGTAAAAATGCTAGTATGATGCTAGCATGACGATATAGGAAAATCTATGCCAGAGTGCCGAGATAGGTATTATTTTAGAGTCAAAATCAAGGACAGGAAGATAATCATGTCTAATTTCATTGCGGGTGAGCTGCACTGGATCGAACCGTGCAGGATTGGGCCACCGTTTATCGTTTAGAGGAAATGCTGGGGTGGGGTCCAAAAAGCGGAGATACACGGATTTAAGTCCTGAGACTAACATTGCACATCAACCATACTCTGTGGTCTTAGTACTCCGTCTAGGCTACCTACACTGTGTACAGATGCGGAGTACACTGCGATACTACATGCTCTATACTACATTTGGTAAACCCACCTACATACCAACGGACGTACAGCAGAGCTACTGCTCCTGCTAATGTAGGCGTCGTGGCTAGTGCGAGAAAGTGTCCGCGTCCCTGCCACCATGCGGCTGAAATATACACCGAGTCTTGGAGGGCGAAAGCCAGATGGCTGAATTTGGCGCCCCATAGCTAGATAGGGGACTCGGAGCCGAAGCGGAAGGCCGAGAGGAGTTACGGGGTGTCCATGTTGGATCTAGTTCATTATAAATTATAAATTTTTCGTTGCAAGTTCCCACAAATTTTTTATTGAAGGATCGTTCAATAATAGCCAAGAGATAGTTCGTTGGAGATTACCTGTGGGACCCATGATCTGATGTTGCAACACTGGCGCCCGGCTTTTGCGCCTTTAGCGGGTCCAACAGCCAACAGCCAACACCAACCATAGCCAACATTTTGCGGAATTACCGGGGGTCTCCTGGATGTTCACTCTTGCATGCAGGAGGCTACCGTCAGGTGCTCTCGCGCCAATGCAGGATGCTCAATGCGCTTTTTAATTCCGTTGGTAGCTTGACTAGTTGGTAGAGCCACCGGCATGACCAGTTGACAACGTGCTCCACTAATCCAAATCAAGCACTATTCTGCGGTTTCCAAACGCTGGAGTCCGGTAAGAGTATCATGCCATAAGTTCTTAGATTCCTGGATCTGACAGTTCGGCGTAGTTCGGAGGATCGACTGGGATCCTAGGTTCACTCGAAAACTATCTGAGCCTCAAATGCCCGGCCCATGGTTAAGGGATGAAGGGAACCAACCCTTGAAAGTTTGAAAACATCGGTTATTAGGTATTATTTCTCCCAACGTCGGAAGTGTTTACCACTCAATATAGATATTATTGTAAACCGCCTTTTTACATCAAGAAATTACCTACTTAAACATAGATTTACAGATTGGCGAGGTTTCCGTGCCGTTGTGGAGAGGAATCCATCGCTTCCTCTCCGTTAGGCAACGGTTCTCTAAAACTGTGGGTTCCCCTGTTGCGCAGTGACTGCGCGTCTCCGGTCTAGTGCCCATCCAAGACATGTTGGATCCTGATATCCCTACAATGTAGTATCCATGCTGCATTCTCGGAAATTTGCGCACCAAACGAGTCATTTCCCCCCTGTTGACGGGACCTTCCCGTTTCAAATACGGGAGAGGAGATTTCAGGATGTTGAGAGACGAAGAGTCCACATCTAAATGGAATTCTAGATCGAGGTCGGAAAGCCCCCGACTTTAGCTTCAGTTTTAAGGACAAAGCTCATATCTATACTCCGTACTCCGCAACAGGACAGAGTATGCGTAAGCAATCTAGGATAGCATAATGTTACCCAGTTAATTGCGTGCTTCCGTGGGGCAGTCGGCGGCTATCGCTAACGTCTAGCAACAGGACATAGCGTTCTTGGCTGCTGACTTGGGACGGCTGCAGAAGCTGGAGAAAAGGATTTGGAATTCAACCCTGCATATTCTGGATTCTCATAATTAAGAACAAACAAAGAAAACTAATATTACAAGGAGAAAGAAAGTACAAAAAAAGGGGAATTTCGACACATCTAACCGATCTACGTTCAGACGAAGGGAAAAAGAAAAGAAATCAGACGTTAAACGATAGGAAAAGATGATTGGATAGATATAGATGAATTTTGGACCAATCTACCCACGTTCTGAAATTAAATGAATTAAAATTGAATATCATTTCTCATTTCTCATTTTCTTTTGTTTTTTTGACGCCTAGCTGATGGTTGGCCGTTAGAGTGGCTAGGGTATGCCCAATATGCACAGCATGACTCGCGCAATGTGACGATAATTAAACTTGGGAAATTACTTTCTTTTTTGCATGCAAGCATGTATGAGCACGGCGATATGTCTATTCAGGAAGGAATCGATCTTCGTGTCGCAGCGGGGGGTCAAGCGCGATGCATATTATCTGCATCTACTCTCTTAGTGTGTACTTGCTATATTGTCCAGAGTCACAAAAAGCAAAACGTATAGAAAAATGCAAGACACTCGGGGCAAGTATTGTAAACTAAAACAGACTATAATACCACTATAATCTCACGTGATTGAAACGGGCTGCGGCTACGCGACTGACGAACGCCAGAAGTATCCTGATTGGACTTGGTGGAGAGCGGCGGACAAAGAAAACGGAGTGGAGAGGGGGAAAGGCTGGTTTTAGCCCTGGGGGAGCCATGTTGATCCGATCTGCACGGAATCGGGGCCTTAGGGACTAGGATGGCCTGTGTGGAGAGGCTTGCCAAGGGGGGTCTCGGAAGCAACGGGCCATACAGAAGTGGCAGACGGCGCCCTAATTAAGTATGAATTTCACGCTTGCGCAAGTTGACTGCGCCGCAGAGATAGGATCACAACGTTTCTGCCTTTTCTTTTGCCCTGGTTCTTTTTCTGTTTCTGGACAATTGAGGAGATTGATTGCATGGATCAATGTCTCCGAGCGATTCAGAACAGGTTTATAGACCTGATACCCTGGGAATACTGCGTATACCTGCATATACCTGCCTATATTGTGTACTTTTTTTTATCAAATAGAATGGTCCAAACAAAACGGTTCAAACCTTGACGAAAATCCAAGAAAAACCGTTGGCGGCTGCACTGCAGATGACTGACGATCGGCTTGGTCAAGGCGCAGATCGAGGGAAAAATGGCGCAGAGGATAATTATTATCACGCGAGTAACATCACAGTTAAGAGGATCCGTAAGTGGACATGTATCACAGCTTTGATATTTTTAAAATATGCAAGTTGACTGCGCGGGAAATCCGCTTTCTGTATCGGCTGCTGCCGAGTTGACGCTGTTGGATCTCCCCAATTCCCCCGCGTCCGATGTCTGGGACAAAAAAAAATTAACCGTGGTTCGCTATATTATCGGGGTTTGAGATAGTATCGTATTACTTCTATAGGATATAGAATATCGGAAGCTCCAAAAAAGCCCTGAAGAGGATAGAGGAGACTGTGTGCCACTCTCTTCAAGCATCTCCCCCCTCTTACCTCATAATGCGCCTTGAGATGTGTTGGCAATGCCAAATTGAGCTTGCATTAGCTCCTCCCGCTCATTCGTCCCGGTATCCCAGGACCATGGCGTACGTCGCAACAGATGACTTTTGCGTCTACCAATAGACGCCGCGCGTTTGTGTTGGTTTTCCTTTTCTGCCCTCTCTAATTTCTGCACTCTTTTCCCTTCCCACATCCATGACCATGACCGCGAGAAAAAAAAGAAACGGAAGAAAAAGTAACGCTCAACACCTGACTGTATCTATTAGTCCGTTATCCACTTCTCACATGAACGGGTGGTGTTGGACAGTACAAATGAAACACTGACACTAAAATAGAAAATGCACGCGATTTCTTCGATTCTTCATTTCTTCATCTCTTTATTATTTATTTTCTTTTATATTAACTCATATGTGTCCAAGCTGAATCTCAATCGAGCCTGTCACCTAACCGCTCATGCAATGCTGCAGATGTGCTGTACAGAGACAAATGAATTCCCTTTTGATCTTTTGGGAAATCGTTCGTCTGTTACATCTCGAATCTACAAAATGTTCTCGGGTAACTGCTTTTTGATATTCTGTACATCAAAACTCGGGATTTGTCATTCATAAACTTCGCCTTGGCGCTAAAATTGTAAAAGGCTAAGGGTAAATTGTAATTTTGGTTACCGCGTGGCCCCCGTTTTTTCGTAACTGCATATGTACAATACCAAAAGAAAAGGAAAAAATTTAGAAGATCAGCCAGATTGTGTCATGAAGCTACCAACATACCAACATAATCAACGGTATAGACAAAATTGCCGCGAAACTTTCCAAGGAAGGATTCGAAAAAGTTAAGGAACGGAGAAAACCGAAGCCATTGCCACATCTTCAAAAGATATCAAATTAATTGGAATAAAAAAAACGTCCATACGGTCTCTCCACTACACCGAACACGGAGCAACTGTCCGGTTCACCGGTCTATTAAATCCTTTTTTAAAAAAAATTATTTTCCATTTTAATTATTTTATTATTTTGAATAGAAATGTGTCTCTCTGGGGGTGGAACCGAACCTCTAGAAAAAAGGACCCCTGTTAGCCCAACGAGCCTTGTGTATCCGCGGTACACAGCTATACAGGGGGGGCCAAAAGGAACACAACCAGGCCCAGGCAGTCGGTCCAGTGCACCCAACAGCGCTTTTTAGTCTGAGAACTATTTTTCCATTTTCTGATCCCTTTTTTACCATTTAAGACCGAGTTGTGCTCCAAGATCTTCCCTTCTTTTTCTAGAGTTCCGAGATCTATAAACCTTGCCCGTTACCCCCAAGGGCATGTTATACTTCTTTTCTGTACTTCATACTTCACATCGTCCATTGGCTCTCTGATATAGACCTCTATATCCCCACTTCTACTATCAGACCTGGTCTGAGCATTCTGAGGAGTTCCAAAGCTTGGTCCTCTATCAATCTCATCTTCAAAGCCAACTCATACACGTACAACACAAAATCCATATCCAAAATGGCAACCCACACAGAATCATACGCAACACTACCATCAGCACGACAAAGCAAAATGAAAATCGATGCCTTACTGAACCCAGGCGACGGAGACATCTCTCCACGCTCCCAGCACGCCTCAATCCCAAACCGCCACAGCTACCATCAACCCTCACCAACCTTCCCCCCAAGCCCAAACTACTGGTACAACCGAAGCTACCACGACACCAGTCCAGGCGCACTATCCAATGTCACAGCAACAACCCAGAGCAGCAGCACCAACAGCCACGTAAACCCGGGCCCATCCCAAATGTTTTTCAGCTACCGGCCCTCGGGCACCAACCGCGCCAGCGCAAGCACAAACCAAAGCTCGCTGTCCGCCCCCTCCTCGCCAGACCCCTACCATCCCCGCGAGCGCTACTCAAGCGTCTCAAGCTCCTCCTCGACTAACGGCGACCGTCGCCGTCCTCCTCGGCCAAAGTACGAGGAAGAGGAAATGTACTTCATCTGGTACCACCGCGTCGATCTGTGTCAGGAGTGGAAGGAGGTCCGCGAGGCTTTCAATCGTCAATTCCCTAACCGCCAGAGACGCGGATTCCAGGGTATCCAGTGCAAGTTTTACCGCTTCATCAAGGAGAAGAAGTGTCCCACTCTGCGGGAGCAGAGGCGCATGCGGGATGGCGAGTTCCTGAGGGAGGGTGCTTCTGCTTCCATGGGGGATCATGGGGCTGCGCCGAAGTTTGGCGTTAGGGAATATACTAATGTTTGGTATCCTTGGATGAAGGATGGGGATGTTGCGTTGCGACGGATGTGATTTTCGTTCTTTTTTTTGGGTTTTCGTTGGGAGGCCAACTTGTCTGTCTTTCGTTTTTGCGTGGGTCGGTCTTCGTCTTTATTTAAGATACCTCTGTTCAGCGTGGGAGGTCTGTTGTCTTTTGGATGTTCTCTCTTTACCCAAATCTTCCACCAGGATTCCTGTCCTTTCGTCTTTCTACACCTTCTCTTACACTTTCCAAGCTTGTTTCTTGGTATATAATGTCTACAATATGTCGTATGGAGCAATCCATACTGTGAGAGTTCGAAACCATTCGGATTTAGATCAAGACATTACTATAAAGAGTCGAGGTTGAATTTGAATTAAAATCATTTCTTTCCAGAACTATTATCCGGTATGTTGTATGACGAATCACACATAATCTCTGCATATCCAAGAACGTCCTCACACGAATCCCCTTGCTTTTATCCTTCCTGACTTACGCATTCCAAATCCCGACGCACATGGTCCTTCCTCGCCTTATATGTTCGGCACAAGTTCCGGCCTCGCCCAACCCAGTACAGGAAGGATAGCCGGAAAACCGTTGGATTCGACCCGTTTCAGGCAGACAAGCATATGTCTTGTACATGTATATGCAGCACCGTCAACCACAGCCATTGTGTTATTCCCTTACACTACGGAGTAGATAAGAAAACATTACTCACATTGTAGTCACTCCGTACAGCCCGTTACTCAGCACAGCTGGCCAGACCGTGCTAAGGAACGAACCTATCCACAGCCCGGTCAATCCCTCGGATCCGTCGATCATGGGTCTCAACCTTCACGCCAAGACGAGTGCCATACCTCGTATTTCGTTTAACTACTCCATATTCGTACTAAGGACTCCCTATAAAGGTTGTAGTTTTCGCCACCTCTCCTTATTTCCCTTTCCCCGATCATTCTCCGTTGTGTCGAGGTCGCTATACAAGAATAGCGAACCAAAGTACCTGCATGGATTAATACTCCCCACTAGAGCTTCCCAAGACAGAGACGATGGGCATGTTAGGGGCTTAGGCTGGAGGATCGCATTGTTGGCTCATGGTACTTATGTATGTTGTGCCGTGCGTACAATATAGTTTGAGGCCAATTGCCGTGGTTTTCAATCAGATAGGGAGTGGTCTCTTTTTAATATATGGTAATTTGTTAATTAATTAATAGATAGATGCCTCTAAGGGATTCTACCTACGGTATATACGGAGTACGATGCACATATGTGTACGAAGTACTTAACAGTTAGGGTATTCTAGATTGACGAGTTCCAGCTGTATAAGACAAAAAGGAATTGACATGTTGTGTTTCGGCATTTGCTTTCTTTGCTTTTGTTTGTATTGTTTCCTTTTTGATCTTATCTACGGAGTACCTATTGTACCAATTCGGTGAGAGTACAAAGTACGAAATAGAGATCGTCGAAAATAAAAGAAAACATGAATGCAAATGGGGCAATCCTGCCAAGTCCTAGCGTGCCGGGGTTCGGGTGTTCATCCCCGGGGCTCCATGGTGAGTCCGTTTTCTTACCTGACAGAAAGATAAATGCCGATTCGATGTCTCAGCCTCATTGTTTCTATGTCATTGTTTCTATGTCATTGTTTCTATGTTGTATGGGGCATTGTTCGATTGTGTGTCCTTTCGGCTGTGGCGCTATGAGCGTAATAAGGGGTTTAAGTGTGTTGAGTATGCTGTAAATGCGCCATATAAAATACAAATATGTCAGCCGCGACGAAGAATTCGATATTGCCGAGGCTTCGATCTTCAGAGCATAGGATATTATAGGGTACACATGTGATATAGCCCGAGGTGTTTCGTTTCCAGGGGAAATTTCAGTAAATGTACATATGTACGTACATACTCTGGGCCCATTGTATGTTTTGTATAATACAGGATCTAGTTGTATCAAGGGAATTGTGTGAATCTATGCATATTTCACATTCTATTGCAAGTCAACAACCCCCGGTGTACGATATAGGTAACATAAAGTGTAGAACAAGAGGCTGGGCTCTGCAATATAGAAATGGCGCAGCCTATTGTGCCACAGCGCTGCGATACAGGGACCAATCTTGATTCCAAGCCGAGTCTGCACTGAAAGTCGAACGCAGTAATACTGCATATGGGGCAACTTGCATGCATGTATGTATGTTTCAAAGGTAGGATTTGCTTGGACTGGCATTTTAGTACTGCAAAGTCGTGCATATTGTATATTGTACTCCGTATATTGTACTAATATAACAATACCAATTCGTCTAAAAAACTAAAAATTTAGACAACCGAAAGCTATCCACATCGGTTCAGCATCCCCGGCGCTACAGTTCACACTAAATTCCTAGACTCCACAATAAGCTCCAATTGGCCACTGTCCCTCTTCGGTGCTGTCGAATCTCATCAGCACTAATATGAAAAGGGCAGGAGGGGCGCTGCAAATGCCGATATGGTTCGTGGCTGATTTAATTTAAAATTGGCCAACTAGACAGGGCTAATTATTATGGAATCGTCTGCAATGTTGTCGCTTCTTTAGATTGTGACGTCGGATTTTTTTTCGAGACGGCATCAAGGTTGTGCGAGGTGAGCGTGTAGGGATCTGGGTTGTACGGGTAAGGTTGTGTGTGTGTCGGGCATTGTCATGATTGACCTGCATGTCTATGTTGGATTTCTCCTACTGTAGCAGCTGCTATGTACTGTAGGGCTTCTAGAATCTGTGGCTCCTGTGTTCCCATGGATTCTCAATTCAACGTTGACTTATGTTTCATTCAGTGGGCTACGGTAAATCATCATGTCCTAACAAGAGGAAGAATCAACTGAAAACCCCATCGAAACAAATTGCAAGATCTCAATCAGAAATGTTCGTTTTTGATTCCCATATCTCCATTCAAATAGCCACCATAGCTATCGATGGATATGAAGTTCATATCCAACTAGTCCACGGCGAGAATTCCAGAGAACATCAGGTTGGGCTCATCCATGAAATGGAATCCCTGAGCAAGAGCGCATCTGGTGGAATAACCAGTCAGTAAAGAAATCGTGCGAGGAAGTTGTAAACAGGCAACTTACGGGTCAACTTCAAAGGCAGCAATGCAGTCGTACGCTCCCTCCTTGATGCTTTGCAAGAAGTCCCAACCGTCATGGAGGTCGTAGAAGGAGATGTAGACATCAACACCAGACTTGGAAGCACAAGTTAGTAGGGACAGAAAACATAAAACTACTGGCATGCAAACTTACCTCGGCCTGCTTGATCAGAATGCGCTCGAAGCTCTTCGTACCCCAGACAGGGTCAGCGGCAATACCCAAGACGTTTTCATTGTCGGTAGTCTTGAAGCTAGCTGGAAGACCAGAGAGACAAACGACGCGGGAAGCACCCCCTTCGACACGCTTCCACAGCTCGGCGTTATCGTGCAGACCCTCCTCGGGCATAGCAACAGAGATGGTGACGTCGTCATCGCCATCCTTCAACTTGATACCGTCCGAGTGGTTCTCGTAGTACTTGACGCAGTCGTCTTGATCGACGAACTGCACGATGACTCCGCCATTCTCGCTCCAAGCACGTTCTATAGCACCGCCGTAGACAAGCTGCAGGACGTTGGGTATGTCCGCCCACTCAGGAAGATCTCCGAAGACAATCCGACGAGGAGGACCAGTCGGGACAATCTTGGGTGCGATCTGCTTCTGCAAGTGGAGCAAACGGACCTGCTTCATGAAATCGGCAGGTGCAGTAACACCTCTGGGCCTCTTGGGACAGGCAGCAGACTCCCCATCCCCGGTGGACTCGGCCTTCTGGGACGTCTTGGAACCGGCGGTGGAGTCGTTGTCGGCGTCCTTGCTTTCGACAGGAGTTGCCTTGCGGGGGGCACTCTTCAGAGGCGTATGAGCCACTTCATCCTTGGGTCCAGCAGGAACAAACGGCTTGGCGCGCGGATCAATGCCAGAATTCTTTGGAGGGGGGGAGGCATGCGAGGCTGTGGCACTAGAAGCAGCAGCTTGCTTGTCCTATGAAAGATCAGTGTGAGACAGGAGTAATGAAGAAAGATGAGTGGTATTCTCAGCAGTGATGGGAATCGAAGGGATATATGAATAAAAAGGAAACAAGAACAGAGAACAGAAGCGCGTCAAATACAGGAGCACATGAGCATGTGGGAAATGTCAAGGTTGGATGGGGGCGTGGATGAGGGTGTAGAGGGGAGAAGGGTGCGACACACATTTGCAAGCTTCATTGTCTTCTCGATGTCCTCGGAGGCGTCATATAGCTTACGCGGCTCGTTGACATCCACCTGGGTGAAGCGACGGCCGTTAAGGCGAGCAGACACTGTCTGCACACCGGCGAGACGATCAGCACGAGCCTTGTTGCGAACAGTGACAGGAGCATGAGCGCTCTCCTCCAGGCTAATCATGTTGCTATTGGTGATCACGTCGTAGATCACCTCGGTCGTGATGCGAATGTCTGCCTGTCTCTGGAGACTAATTGGAACAAGACCGTTAGGTCCGATGACTTTGGCTTTCCCCATGATAGAAAATAGTATCCAGATGGGAAGGGGGAAAAGGAAAAGAAGAAGGAGAAATCAAAACAATTTATTTGACGGAAGCGTGTAGGACGTGTTGAGGTGGTTGTGTTCGACTTGGGAAGACACGACTGACAAGTTGACTGGCTCTTCCTTTTTGTGAGCACAACAGTAACTGCGGGAAGGAGCAATGTATAGCTACATATGTTAATAAGTTCCTTTGGATATTAATCTTTCTGTTTATGAGTAGAGATTCTAGGATATTATAAACCACAGTCATACCTATAAGGCACATATCATACCTGTAATATGTTCACTTGGAACAGGTCTCTGGAAAGACATCCCACTGTTCTGAGCATACCAAACAAAGAAATCTCCTACTGAATAAATAGTGCTCTTTTATTGCTCTGCTAGAGACCGCTTGTACTTCTATCAATCTCATTATGTTATAGGTGTTATAGGCAATATCATGTTCATCAGCTACTACGCGGACACTGATCGAAGGAGGGGGGTTGTGGTTACTGCTAACCATGATCTTCTTTAGTCTTCTACTAATAGCTCTTCCAAGCTAGCAAGGGAGCTTCGGCTATTCTAGTCTCGGGTAACTGGTATCTGCAATATAAGACCTTCTGGGTCTAATGTAAAGGGAGAGTGAATCGCCCCTCGAGTTAGTTTTGCCTCCTTGTCCCCTTTCGAGGCTTATGCTATGGTGTTATGTCTCGACCTCACGTCCATATTCTTTTGCCTCACGAACCACGCATTAACAATCTCCCATTCTGCACTAGGATCATCGAATTCAATCTGACGGACCCCAGGTTAGAGTCAAATCTCATTTTGGAACCATATTCTCACCTTGTATCTTAGAAGTAGCGATGGAATCAGCTTATAGATCTCTAGCAGACTGATATTCTTGCCAATGCAAGTCCTTGGTCCAGCGCCGAAAGTAAATGTCGCACGAAGCATCTTCTGCTTTCTGTCCTGGAAATCAGTCTCAGACTCAGTATCCATCTTGAACCGCCGTCCGGGAACAAATGACCCCACATCCTCCCCAAAGACCAGCTGACGATGTATTATCCACGGATTAGCACCAACTATCGTCCCAGCCGGTAGAAAAGGGCCATCAGGAAGCTGAAGTCCCTCAGCGGGCACGACCCGCTCAAGCATCAATCCCACGGCCAGGTGAAGTCGTAGTGCTTCTTTAATCACTGCGTCGAGGTAAGGCAGTTGCTCTTGGCTTTGCTTCCACGAGACAGGTAAAGAGATCCGATTATCTTCCAAGGCGACGGTGAGCTCTTGGCATAGTCTCATACTTGCTCGGCGGTTCTTAAGGGTGTAATAAAGTATTGCTCGGAGGGAAATCGCCGTCGTGTCTGAGCCAGCATTCATATTGCTGATCGTATATGAGAAGACTTGATTATCGTTTACAATAGCCGGGTGCTCCTTTTTCGCTTCCAAAAACCGATCGAGAAAGTCCTTATGTGTGTCGGCCACTGGTGACGTCCTTTTCTGGTTCAATCGTTCGTCTAGTCGTGTGCGAGCAAAGCGAGCCACAGCTCCGGTCGACCCCCCTCCGGAAAGCTTCTTGAGAGGGGTTCTTGATGAAAAGACAGTCAAGCCATGGCATCTGCCCAATCTAACGAATCTAATTAGCTTTGTCAATTGCCTGATTCGTAATGCCAACTTTTCCGGCATAGTCGAGCATATGCTCCAATGCGACGATGATTCCGTCGATATCATTCCCTTTCTCGAGGAACCCAAGTGGCTTACTGAATGTCAATTCTCCGATGACATCAGATGCATCTTTTCGAGTTACATTAGCTCCTACTCTCATGTCTCACGGGGAGAAATAGAATACTTACAGTATTGTAGCCAAGCAGCAATATCGCATACTTTTGCTTCAGCTACGAACCCATCCAGTTTCCCAAATAAAGTATGGATAGTCCTATCGACAAAAGGCTCGAACTCGGTCAGAGTACTCATCGAGTAAGCTGATGAGACAGGCCTTTTAATAGCAGCATGGAAATTTTCATCCATTGTAGTAAATAGTGTAGGCGTCGGTCTGCCTTTGGCAAGCTGCTGCTGAACAGAATAGAAATTTGTGTTGCGAATGTTAGCGGAAGGTTCAATCAGTTTCTTGTAATTCGAACACACCTTTTGGTATCCCTTATTAATGCCATATATAGTTTTCAAGGCATCCAAATTCCGCACACTGGCCACGTTGGGTCCCAGTCGAACATAGTCTCCGTGCTTTTGGTGGAGGTTATGAAGCATCACCTGTACACGGCCATTGGCGACATCGATGAATCTCCAAAGGTTCGTTATCTTAGCCAGTAAGGGTCCGGGGATTGAGGCTACTCCTGGTTTGGGATAATTGCGGTGAAGTGAAATAAGGCAAGGGCGACAAGGATAGCTGGTAGATGTGACCAGACTGAGATCAATGCTTCTGAGGTGATGGCCATGGTGAACTCGACAGCTATTGTCTCCTCGTGGCTGTTATACCTAGTAATACTCCATGTAGAGGAAAATGCGGGAAATGGGAGTTCGCGTGGAGAATTCCGCTCTTATAGCAGAACGGGCCTCGTCTTTAGTCTTCATTCGGTACATTTGGATACTTCGCCAATAGAAACGGAGTAAAAGCGGTCGCACGTGCTCACTTTTATATGCCTCGGCCTTTTACTGCTCTTTCCTTCGCCGGTTTCTTGTGGCCATGCAAGTCGGCATTGCAGTTAAGCAGCAGCTTAACAACGCGGCGATTACCTCTATGGGCTACCAATGCTGAAGGCGATAGGTCTCCTAGAGGAGAATGCAGGCAGTCCCGGTTCCGCGTGCCTTGCTTTAATACTCCAGATAGTCTTAGGTAGAGTAAGAGGTATATTATTCGTTTATTTAATGCTCCTAAAGGCTTCTCCAACAAAAATATCAATGCACCAAAGACACCGAAAATGAGCAAATCTATATGACAAGAGTGGGTAGAATGGGTATCGGTTCCAGAACATTAGAGCTTTTACAACGGGACAGGAATATTCTCGAATCCTTTTTGGCCGGGCTTACGGTCTTCAACAATAACTTGAAGGCCACGACGACCACAATAGCCATCATTGCCCGCAACCCGATCAACGACCTGGAAAGAGCCGCCACCATCCTGCGCAGCATCCGGAACCCACACAGTCTCCTGCACAATTTGACCGGGGACTTCCGCACGACGGGGATTATGCCAAGGCAGACCGACAAGGTGATTGCCAAGGTTGTGAAGGAACGAGTACAGCCCCTCAAAGCGGCGGGTGATTCCCAGCCAAGAGAGAGTACGGTGGTCATAAGCGGTCCGCACGAACGGGTTCATGTAGATGCCCGTATCGGTGATCTCGTCGACATTGGTCTGCGGGTCTTGGACGTCCGCGTGGATGAGGCAGCATTCAGACGCCTCCCAGAAGAGATCGTGCCCGGAGCGGAAGCGTGCTGGGTTGGGGGTTGTAGGCGGTGAGCCGGTTTGGAAGTATTTAGCATCAAATGCCACCATTCCGCCCCAGCAGCTGCGCACTCGCACTGCGTCTTTGCCGGCCAGCACATCGCTTCGGCTCTCGCCTTTGCCGGATGATGTGAACCACGGGTAGAAGGGGAGACCCATGCTGTAACCTTCAAGATCGCGGGTGGCGTATGTGTCGTAGAATTTGATGGGGTTGTCGAAGTCTACGGCGCAGGCTGCACGGTATTGGGCGATGCCGTCTTCATTGGCATTTGTTGAGAATAAGAGCTGGGGGACATCGGCGGGGTGGAAGAGAATATCGTTCAGATAGAGTAGCTTATCGAGTTTCATATCCGGGTGGTCGGTCAATGGTTGTAGTGCTCGGTTCCGAACCTGGGCCAAATATTCGATGCGCTTGATTCGCTTTGATCCACCGGGAATGGTCACAGTCGGTATAGTCTTCGGGTCCAGGTGCTTTTCAGAGACAATGGATTTCTGGCACTGCACTTGCTCCGCTAACGCGCGCAATGCGCGCTCTCCCTCCTCACCGCTGTCATTCTCGTAGATACTCAGGAACACATTGTCAGGCCCAAGCAGATCAATCAATTCCAGGAGTTGTGTTCCCCACTGGCCCTGCGCAAGCTCGCCACCCCTATCATACAGACTTGCTGCAATAAAGACCTTCTCGTGGCGGGGATTGCCTCGTCCGGGATATGAGCTCTCGAGTACTGACTTTCGGAGTGTAGAATAATGCGCGGGCAGATGGGTATATGACGGGAAGAGTATCGATGTGAAAAGTGCGAGGACAAAAACGATGCCGGCGACGACATGGAGGTAGCAACAGCGGCGAATACAGAAACGTCGAGAACAGCTCGGTCGTGGTGTGCCTGCGAGGGCCGGTCTGGAAGTGCTGTTCAGACGGCGATAACCCGCTGCCGCCGAGGAGAATATCCGAGAGAGCCAGGGAAGTTGGCGTTCGCCAAATTTGGATGAAGAAGGGACTTGGGCTTCAAAATCAGCATCATCGAGGTTGAACGTCCCCTGCGAGTCAATTGAGGATCGTGAGGCAAGCTCCCATTCATCGGGATGAAGTAGTCGTGCAGTCATGGTGGACTGTGTCACCAAAGGGGTATACACCCTTGGGGCTATCTTCAACTGCAAAATTGGTCCAATAAGCTGGCACGCTGCAGCCATGATTGATGATAGCCAAAAAGCAACTCTGGGGCCCCACGGAGAACTTACGTCATCAATATGGTCACGTGTTATCGGGCCAGTATGATGTACATCGTGGTGCTCAAAAGTTTCTGGGCTTCAAGGAATATGACTGAAATAGGGAAATAAAATATAGAGCAAAAGTGTTAAATTGAGAATGGCTCTGTCTATCTTGACTTTCGGATAAATGTAGTACATAGAAACCAAATGCGCAACATGATTTCCCGATAAAAGTCCGGTATGTAGTGACGTAGCTGTAGTCGGAGCACTGCCTGTTTTGCTCGCATAGGTGAGATCATTTATCTTTCTGCTCAATTCCTGCGTCCACTTACTTCGAAATCGTCAATCTTTCACTTCAGCCACGCACTTGTCCAAAAATATCTAGCAGACAGCGTGGTGACTGAACATACTTCATCTGTGATTATACCACCTGCACCGCTTCCCCGCATTTCACACCCCACCATGTCGCAATCGCAATTCAAATTCGCCAACTCAGATGCCAAACTGCCAGGCAACGGTACTCCTCCCCCAGAGTTTACCATCAAAGCACCAGCTTCCACAGATATATGGGCCAAGCCACCCTCCACCATCCGCTTCTCAGCCCCGATCTTGTACAAGTCTGTGCCGCTGAAGTCATTCAAGCGGATCCGCGTCGCCTTCAATGCCCTTTGGGAGAAGAAATATGACCAGGGCGGCGTTATCCTCGTCCTGAATACCGCCGACGGTGGCCAGAAATGGGTGAAGAGCGGCATTGAACTCACACACGGCAGACCCCACCTCAGCGTCGTCGCCAAAGACAACTGGGCAGACTGGAGCTTGCTTCCAGTGCCCTCGGGCGGTGGTGCGGCAACTCTTGAGTTGATCAAGGAAAAGGACAACAGTCTGTGGATCTATCTTGTCGAGGGCTTGCAGAAGTCCCCTATCCGGGAAGTCACTTGGGTCTTTGACGAGGAGAATGTGAAGGACTTCTGGGTTGGTGTCTATGCTGCCCGGCCATCAAGCGAGGGTGGGGACTTTCCTGTCAATTTTGGTCATTTGGTTATAGACCAGGAATAGGTTGGCGGGATGTTGTTAGTTATATGTCGCAATAAGTAGATGGAGATGGTCACTGCGAACAACCAGCATTATATATGACGAATAGGATAATGGAAACGAATACAGCAAGACTACTTTTGACCATATCTTGTAATGGAGAAAGGCAGAACCTTCATGGTCTATCCAGGTAGAAATAAAGATATCTGTTTACTGCAGATATACTATGGCTCCACAGAGTTCGAGGTCCACCTGTGCATGTCCCAAAGATGACTGGCATGGCGCAGATCAGCCGATATACGGATAGGTTCCAGTCAATAGGACTGGTTTCTTCCCAGATTTTTTGTTCGATCTTTGTCATGGCGGGAGATCAGCCATGTTGCCGCACGTTGCGGTTACCAGGTGCATGGGCGGAGCGATTAATGCTAATTTGTACAAACACTACAAGTACACTGTCCACGGGCGCATGTTAAGTTCCTTGTAACTTTAACGTTGTCAGGTGGGACTTGGGTAATGTGTCGGATGTCTGTCTACATTGTGCTTCTGGGCCTTTCCCTATGTTGTATATGCGGATTATATAGACTTCGGGTCCACTTTTTATTCATGTTCTCATTTTCATATTAATGCAATGCTATCCTATATTTGTACACTATTTCGGGAGACAAAATACTACTCCTTCCCAATTGGAGTTATCTGATCCTACTATGCCTAGTGCGGTGTAATCCCGACAATCGGGTGTATGCGCCGCACAAGCCCTATTTCGGATGCCGAGGTCACACCAGTCGCGTGTTAATATGACACGAGTGGAGAAAAGTATGTTGTAGAGATTCCTTCGGTCCCTTCCGTTCTTCCGTCCCTTTTGCGAATTTCCTTTCACTATAAAGTATTGTACATTGAATGTAGGGGGGAAGATGATATAGCCCCAGGTCAAGTGACCGGCTCCGTTATTCCGGCAGTGACATGATGTTTCCCTAGATCGGAGTTAATTGACGGGGTAGCAATGCATGTTGGTGCCAGATAGTGGAGCCATTTCGTATATATTATGTAGTTCTGAAATTCCCTCTTTGCTAGAAATAAAAGAAAGAACTTCAGAACACATATAATATAACTACTCCGTAGAAACAAATATCAAAAGGGAAATCAAACTTCCATCTTATCTGATGATGTGAACCAGGGAAAGGAGTGACTTGGCAGTACCAACGCAGTACCACAGACCCAGCCCATGCCACTTAGTGAACCGATGTATTCCGCAGGTACCCCTCCTATCGTAACATTCCCGCCAAACTCCACCCTTTTTTAATTTTCCTCTTTGACACATCTTTCCATATCTTTGGAGAAAATACGCAGGGAAACACCTGGGCATTTCAACATCCCAGAATGACGACTGGACTACAACCGTCACTGTGATACTGTCTCTTAAAGTGTCTTGGTGCAGCATCCTGGAATGCTAGAAATGAGCTGAGATCGGACCTCAGCCTCTCACCTCACCTCTCTGCCACCACCGACCCCATCAACGTGCATAAGTGCGACCGACGATCGGCCTTGGTGTCGCTTTGCCCAGAAAACCCACGACTTGCCGGGCTAAACTCTTGAAGGCCTGCTTCCCCTTACACTCGGGCGTCTCCCTCCGAAGCACGGCGGATCTGCCCATCTGCCAATCTGCCCCATAGCTGCGTACTGGATCCTGCTTCTTACTTACAAAGTAAAATAGCCCTTCATGGGTCGACCCCCGAGGCAAGCGCGCTTCCACAAGTTTTTACATATCGCGCCCCATATTTGTTTTCTTCTTTTCCTGTCCTAATCCGGTCTCCGATTCGTTGTTGGCATCTCGTGTTGTTGTTTCTTTTTCCCTGTGGACCTAACTGGCTCGGGCTACCTGGCTGAAGAGCGAAAGTACTTACTCATTAGAGCAGGGTTTCGTTTCCCTTTATGTGATACACCTTCCGCTATTTTACGTCTGATGCCGCATGAACTCTTTTTCTTTTGATGATCTGTTTCCCGCTTAATCGCCGCTTTTAAGGTCGTCGTCTTTTGTATATGGTTTCGACCAATCCCAGACCGAACTCTCTTGCCGGTTATTCTTATATGGACGCTTTCCATTAGAGAATACTTCCGTTGAACGATCTTGTGGTAACGGTGCATCAATCACGAGATGCCAATTCTCGATCCACGCTCAGGACCGTCCTACGGCACTATCGAACACGAAAACGCCAGAATGGAGGACGAAAGGGATCAACTGTTGCAGGATGACTGCGAAGTCGAGGGCCAGTCTAGTGGGCTGTCCACACCGGATGAAATGCAGGAGGGAGTCCAAAAGATTGAAGCCATCAATCTGACTTGGACAACTAAGTCTTTAATGGTAGCCTACGTCAGGTTCGTGTGGCTTGCAGTCCCGTGCTTTTGGCTGAATCCCTACTGACTTAGCGCGAAGTATATTCCTCATGGCATTCTGCACGTCGCTGGAAGGTCAGACTGTAATGTCGCTGTCTGCATATGCGACGAGTTCATTCAGTAAACATTCGTTGATCTCGACCGTCCTCGTTGTCCAGAATGTGGTCAATGGTGAGAGTTTACGACTCCGCTTGAGGCAATGAGCGGCTGCTAATCGTTAATCGATCTCTAGCTGTCATCAAACCCCCTATGGCTAAAATTGCCGACGTGTTCGGTCGCTTCGAGGCTTTCTGTTTGAGCATCCTTATATACGTCCTGGGATACATCCAAATGGCCGCATCTACCAACGTCCAGACCTACGCCTCTGCCCAGATCTTTTACTCCGCCGGCTCGACGGGCTTGCAGATCCTCCAACAAGTCTTTATCGCTGACAGCAGTGACTTGCTGAACCGTGCCTTCCTCGCTCTCCTGCCCGAATTCCCATTCTTGGTTACGGTCTGGCTTGGGCCGACCATTGCGGGGGCGGTGCTACGTACTTCCTCATGGCGGTGGGGTTATGGAATGTGGGCTATTATCTTGCCTGCATCCTTCCTGCCACTCGCCCTCACGCTCCTCTTCAACCAACGCAAGGCCCAGAGATTGAATTTGATCAAAAAGCGGACCAGAAGACGGACGGACTTGGCCAACGTCATGCGCCGGACCTGGTACGATCTGGACGTGGGTGGACTGGTCCTTTTGTCCGCTGCCGTCACATTGATTTTGGTGCCTCTGACTCTTGCCGCCAACGCAAAGAACGGGTGGAAGAATGTCAGTATTTTGGTCATGATCGCGCTTGGCGTTGTTTGCCTATGTCTGCTACCCCTCTGGGAGTCTTCTCGGAAATTGGCCCCCAAACCCCTGCTCTCTCTACACCTCCTCAAGCAGAGGACTGCTCTTGCGGGGTGTGCATTGGCGTTCTGGTATTTTAGTAAGTTGTATATTCTCTCGACTTTCGAGTGCCGTTACTAACCTTACCTAGTGGCCTTCTATTTTTCTGTTCAGCCTTATCTCTATTCCTACCTGCAGGTTGTACAAGGGTACGACGTTGCTACTGCTGGGCGTGTTACCCAAACCTTTTCTTTCACCTCAACCATTGCTGCATTCAGCGTATCACTGCTTATCAAGTACACCCGACGATACCGCATCTACATTACCGTCGGATGTGTTGTGTACATGACCGGCCTAGCCCTGATGCTCTTATGCCGAGGAGAAGGAGCCTCACATTTCCAAGTCCTCGGCACGCAAGTCATAGTCGGCATCGGTGGCGGTCTAATTAACGTACCCGTCCAACTGGGCGTCCAAGCCTCCGCCAGCCACCAGGAAGTCGCAGCAGCCACTGCGATGTTCCTGACTTCCATGGAGATGGGCGGTGCAGTTGGCGCCGCTGTCTCAGGAGCCGTTTGGTCCTCTGCCATCCCACACAAGCTTCTCCGCTACCTCCCCGAAGAAACCAAAGGCCAAGCTGCTGAGATCTTCGGCAAGCTGACCACCGCTCTCTCATTCCCAATGGGATCGCCAACTCGCATTGCCATCAACCGTGCGTACCAAGAGACCATGAACAGGCTGTTGACGCTGGCTGTCATCGCCACCCTCCCCCTCATTCCGCTGAGTCTTCTCATGGTCAACTACAAACTTGACAAGGTACAATCGCAAAACCGTGCTTTATGATGATCTCCTCTGACTTTATTCTAGATGGGCTACGGTGGTCCCGAACGACGGGGCGACCCGGCTCCAGTTGAGGCAGAGGCAGAGCCCAACTCAGATGACGGACACTCCAAACGAACCTAAACCCCAGCATTTCTGTGCGTATTTCACCGCACACGACGATCACGATCTTACGAATTGAACCTTTTTGCGTGGCTTTTTCATGGCTTAATTTTGCATCTCGATACAAACCAGCAAGCGGCGTTTTGGGTTCAAGCAAGGTGCAACACATCCTCGATATATTCTATTCACCAGGACTGGACGATGAGTCAGTCCATCAGTTGCATTCGGCGTTACTGTTTTTATGTATTCATGGGTTTAGAAGTACACATGCATCTGTCTTTCCAAGACTGGAACAGTTCAATAGACCTGGATAGGTGTCAATCCCGAAATTGAGTACCCAAGCGATAGCAGAAGACTTGCCCTACTACTCTGCATTGCACTACACACTGTAGTATGTATCGTCGACAAAGATAATAAGTCCACGTCGACTCCGGGCCAGAACCCATAACCTGGCCAAGCATGGTTGATACACCAAAGCACTCGGCGGTTTTAATCCACACGATAGCAGACCTCTAACACCGAAACCAAGCAATTATTCCAATCCGGCCGGCTTGCCGCTCTAAAACCCTCAAGCTGTAACATGTCTCTCTCATTTTCCTGCAGTTACGGCCCGGTGGGTTTCCTCTGCAGCAGTCGGAAATAGGGTTAGGTCCCCTGGTTTCGCACACTAGACAAGGTACTTTGCATCGGCTTATACCAGAGTCGAATATCCCGGTCTAGTTCAGCCTAAACTTCACGCATCGCGGCCTTATGTCCACTGCTATCCGCCATTGCGGGAAGGATTTGGATTTGGATTTGATTTTATTTGAAATCTCGAGATCCTAACTAGACCTGCACATAGTTATTGAATCGGCTCTGGTATTGTCCTTTCTTTTCCTTTTCTCCTCCCCCCAAGCCCATGCCGGGCCCTTATTCAGCTAGTAGCCCAGGCCTCATACGCACCACGTCTATTCCACGTATATTACCCGTGCATGTACCTGCATATATGCATGCATGCATACCAGATACCGCGACGGAAGGGCTTGAGAATACGGAGTACATGAGATACGGATTTGATCTGCTTGGCACCCCTGGCATGTGCATGTGCTTACTGTAAATGTATATTGTACCTAGATGGAGGGTCTCCGTATGGAGGACGCATGCTGCAATATACGGATATCATGTCAGCCACTGTCAGCCAGCAGTCCTTAGCTATCCATAGATATACTTTGTTAGTAATGTGACTCACCCACCTGGGCAATGACCTCAGCCAACGCAGTGAAGGCGATAGTTGTGGAGAGACTGGATCTGGATCGAGCTGCCAAGCTGTGACAGGAACAAGCCACTTACGGATAATGGAGTGAGAATTAGAGTATGGTGGATTGGATTCGACTGTATGAAGCTATGTATGGATTGTATTTTATTTCTATCCGTCTAGGTCCTTAGATCTCTCACACATAAAACGGCGGGTTTGTAAAAAAGGGGAGATTTGGGGCCGAGGGGAGACGGGAGCCCGGGAACCCGTGAATGGTGAAACGGGATTGAAATTGGGGACTTTCCTTTTTATTAACTTGCTTTTTTTTCTTTTCTTTTCCTTCGGGTCACGAGAAAAGGGTGAAAGAAAAAGCGACTCGAAGGAAAAAGGGGGGAAATACTCCGGGTCTCCTTTTGTTCGAGGGTGCTTTATAAAGACCGGGCTTATCTTAGAATGAGACTTATACGTTGGTATTATGGGGGTTATAGGCGCTGAGTACTTGGATGTATTGGGTTCTCTGATTTAAGAATGTGATCCCCCAGAAGCCTTAAATTCGAGTCTAGAAAATGGAGATAATCACAGTGCTTAGCCGACAGCGGCTGGCCGTTGATATAGTATTTAGTATTTATAGGAGTCGAGGGGAGATGAGATGATACCGTTTCTCTTGGCAGTAATGAATGACATCGTTAACAGAAAATATCATAATTGATCTGGATATTAATATCAGATAAAATTTATAGATATAAAAAGTAGATATAAAATTATCAAAATTATCCTAACATCCAATAAATACATATAGGCAGAAATCAAGCGAGAGAGCTGTACAGACCGTGTATCGAGACTAGCACCGTGTCTAGACTCCATACTCTGCGGGTTGCCCCATTCAATCCAGACCACAGCTTCTTCCTCCCTTTTTGTCCTCCCATACTCTCCTTCTCTCTATCACTCTTGCATCAATAATTCTCATTCAAAATGGTCGTCGCTACCATCAAGTACGCTATCCTATTTCCTCTTCATCCCCTTGCCGAGGCGACCCCTCCCCCCAGATCTCATGGCTAACCCCAACCCAGATGTGTCGTGGTGGGGGACGGTGCAGTGGGAAAGACCTGTCTGCTCATCTCATACACAACGAACAAGTTCCCTTCGGAATATGTTCCCACCGTCTTTGACAACTACGCCGTGACCGTGATGTAAGTCATCCTCCGAACCCCCCCCCCCCTCCCCGAGAAAAAAAATTATACCCCAGTCCAGCATCAAAGGAACACTTCTAACCGATCGCTCTACGAATTCAGGATCGGCGATGAGCCTTACACTCTTGGACTGTTCGATACCGCCGGTCAAGAGGATTATGACCGCCTGCGCCCGCTCTCTTACCCGCAGACTGACGTGTTCTTGGTCTGCTTCTCCGTCACCTCACCTGCTTCATTCGAGAACGTCCGCGAAAAGTGGTTCCCGGAAGTCCACCATCACTGTCCGGGTGTTCCCTGCCTGATTGTCGGCACCCAGACCGATTTACGCGACGATGCTGGAGTGCGGGACAAGCTTGCCCGCCAGAAGATGTCGCCCATCCGCAAGGAAGACGGTGACCGGATGGCTAAGGAACTCGGCGCTGTTAAATACGTCGAGTGTTCTGCCCTGACACAGTATAAGCTGAAGGACGTCTTTGACGAGGTACACCGAATATTCCATTTTGCTGCCTGATGTCTCCACACCGCCACTAACATGTTTTGTTTCTACTTTCTAGGCTATTGTCGCGGCACTCGAGCCCGCGCCCAAGAAGAAGTCACGGGGTTGTCGCTTGCTGTGAGCTCACCCTTCACGGATTTATCGCAACAGGTTGGTCCGAGTGCGACGGATATGTTGCACTTGGGTTGATGCCTGGTTGACGCGCGCCTCGAAGCAGCTACGATGGAATGAACCTGTTTATTTCTCTTTTTCTACTCTTTCACGTTCTATTGGGCGGCAAATATTTCTGGCTGGACTGGGTTTTCTGGGATATCCAAATTCGGCGACAAAAAAAAAGGGGGAGTGTGGTCTTGTATTATGGCTAGCGATGCTATCTGAAGCGTTCCATATCTACGTTTTCCAGTTGAAAATGGCTTCTGTGCTTTTTCTTGATCCCCTTTTCTCTTATTTTGTCTCTGTTCGCATATCCCGGTTTGAGATCTAGCCTCTCTAATTTGCTGTCTCCCTTTTTCTGCTCTAGCTCTCTCTCTCTCTCTCTCTCTCTCTGCTTCTTTTCTTCTTGCTGCGCCTGGCTGCGTCTATCTGCCGTCTTCAACGACCTGGTCTGGAGTTACCCTCAGTTCTCTATTCTCACCTCCTCCACCTCATTCCTCTCCTTTACGAACTACAGCGACAGCAATCTTGACCTTCTCCTCCTCCTTTTTGTCACGTCAGCTACACTTCCCGCATCCTACATATTACCTTCTCCGCACCCGGCGCTTGCACCTCTTTTGATCGTCTCTCTCGGCGTTGGACGTCAGGGCGTCGTGTTTTGGCTGGATGGTTTCCGTCACACTTGTCCCATAACCCGATATCCCCATATCCCCCTGTCCTTTTTTTGCTTCCGTGCTATTTATGTACCTCCAGCTTTGCGACCAATCCCCGGACTATGAATTTGAGCTTGCTGTACCCTTCTCTTGCAGATCCGGCTTCTTCTCTGCGTCTTTTTTTGCCTCTGTGTGATCTCGCCGTTTATTCCAATCTGATCTACAATCGCCGTTACTGCTATGCGCGTGCTCTTGATACAAGCTTCTCCGTTCATGTTCGTTGCTGCGATCTCTTGCAGTCTTTCAAGTTATGTTTCACTGAAGAGAAACGTTATTTCTGTGTCGTAGAAAGTCGCAGACTCCAATTCAACTTCTATGAAATAGTTTGGTTGAAAATGTATCTGCTTGTAGCATTTTGATACTGTACTTCCAAAGTCGCCTCCTGAGGTCCGAGAGTGATATCATAGGCTAATGAGCTCACCTGGTCTCTACTGTGCCATGACATCACTCCAGTCTACAAGAAGAAATCATTCAATGTCATTCATTCATTCATTCTTCAACTTCATTCCACATTCATCTCGTAGATCTGTCCAGATTCAAAGCTCATCCTTAGCCTCCTTCTTCTCCTGAGCTCCCTCCTGCTCCATCCACCCATACCATCCACCAAGATCCTCATCGACACCAGACTTAACAAGACTAGTAATAATCTCGAAAGCAACCTGCGCCGCAGCAAGAGCAGTAGTCTCGCCCTTGTTATCATACGCCGGCGAAACCTCCACAATATCCGCCCCAACAATGTTCAACTTCTCCAACCCACGCAGAATCCGAATAAACTCACGCGTAGTCCAACCACCAGGCTCAGGCGTTCCAGTCCCCGGCGCCGTCGATGGATCCAGAACATCAATATCAACAGAAAGATAAACAGGCTGCTCAGGGTCAATTCCTGTCCGCGCAATAATCGTCTCAACAACCCCCATAGGCCCAAGCTCATCAATATCATCCGCATGAACCCGAATAAAGCCCTGCTCAGGCCCAGGATTCGTATAATCCCCGGCATCAACACCAGTAAGCCGAGTCCGCAACCCCGCATGCGCAGACGTAGAGTTACAAATCAGTCCCTCGCGACTCGCCTTGTGGAAGAACGAACCGTGGTTAAACTGCGTCTGCTCAGACTGCCAGTACGCGCTGTACCGCACGGGATTCCACGTGTCGAGGTGCGCGTCGAAGTGCACGACTGTTATCGGCTTCTGGTAGATCTGGTGCAGAGCGCGCAGCGCTGGCAGCGCAACGCTGTGGTCTCCACCCAGCGTTACGAGCTTGGGGTGCTTGGCGCCGATCCCGTTTGCCTTCGGTGCCTTGTTCACGATGCTGCGTGACCCTAGCTCCAGGAACGCCTCGTACATCTGTCGCTCCGCGAGCCCGTTGTCGAACGGTGTAATCGGGATGTCGCCGCAGTCGGTGATCTTCGCCCACGATTGGTATGGGTTCAGTCCGGCGCGCGTGTTGTAGCTTGTTGCGGCCATTTGGCGCGCGCTCGCGGCGCGGATTGCGCGTGGTCCGAAGCGGGCTCCTGGGGGGTTTTGTTAATTTGGGGTTCCGGGGTTGGTTTGTATGCGGGATGTATTGGGAGTGCTTTTGCTTTCGTACCTGGTCGGTAGCTGACGGCTGTATCAAATGGAGCGCCAATAATGGCAATGTCGTAGTGCTCATCGGGCTCGATCAGACACTTGACTGGCTTCAGGTGGGCGAAGCTGGCAATGCCGGAGAAGGACCACTGGATAGTTACATGTTAGCAATCGAACCTCGTTTCTTCGATATTGTGGTATCATCATACCTCCTGATCCCACTTCTTGAGTAATTCCGCCCGCTCATGTTCGGGCACTACCTCGCCGTTATCGTGGTGCGCGCAGGAGGCCGCGGAGCCGGCTAAAGCCAGTGTGAGGAAGGTCTTCCAAGCAGGCATGACTGGAGTTATTGTGATGAAGTAAAAGTAAAATTGGAAACGAAGATATTTATTGTCCTACATATCTCTCTTATCTCGTCGAGTTTCCTGAAGCAGCAGGTCGTGTGAAGGGAAAGACGAACAGATGGGGTTGTCCCGATCGTGCAGACTTTCCCTTCTTGGCTTTGGCCCGCTTTTCGGTTTTCTTTCTTTTGACAACTCCTCCGATAGCTGTTATACAAAGCTATTGACAATGCAATGCGGCGAGTTGTTGTAACCGGTCTTGGGGCGGTGACACCGCTAGGTGTAGGTGAGTTGCTTCTTCTTTTACGTTGTTGTCGTTTCGTTGGCATTGATAGCTCCAAGGTCGTCCTTGGAGTATCAAGGCATGTTATCGGGGACAAAATGCATGCAATTACGCAATACCGCAATTCTGTCTGTCAGAAATCAATCCTCGGGAGCACGCTCTATCCATCTTTGGTTATCCGGGAGCCCATTGCATGATATCCGATATCCCCGGACTCCGGACTTTCGAGCTCCTCTACGTTCCCCACTTCCCACTCCGGAAGGGGAAGGTTGTGACAGCCAATGACGGAGGGCATGCAGATTAGTGCGGGACTCAGAGATAAGAGGCAGTACCTGCCGTCTTCATACTGGGTTTCACTATACGTGGTTGACCGGGCTTTGGTGTTTACAATCTGTGGATGCTACTGTGACTAACATCATGCTTGGCTGTAGGGATTCGGCGTACTTGGAAACGTTTGCTAGATGGCGATTGTGGCGTGGTTAATGTGAAAGATCGCGATGAGCGCTATGCTGAACAGCCCTGTCAGGTTGCTGCTGTTGTTCCACAGGGCAGTCGCAAGAATGGGGGGTGGACTGCATCGGAATGGTTGAGTCGGGTTGTAAGCTTTTTTTCCAACTACCTTACTTTTGGTGATTTGTGTTTTGCTTGCAATACTGATACTTTGGGGGCGGATAGGAGGAGCGGAAGATGGCCAAATTCGCGCAGTATGCCATGGCGGCGACGGAAGAGGCCCTTCAAGATGCGGACTGGAAGCCCCAGCCCTTTGAACAGAGGGAGGCGACGGTATGTGTGGGAATATGTACTGGTTTGACGGCCATACTAACCATTTTGATAGGGAGTCTGCCTGGGATCAGGCATTGGGAACTTTGATGAAATCTACAACACAGTTATTGTCTATGACAAGGGGGTAAGTTTCTTCTATCATACATGCTCTAGGGAAGCCTACAACTAACTTGTTGGACAGGGCTACAAGAAGGTCAATCCGCTATTCGTGCCAAAGCTGTTGATCAACCTTGGCGCTGGGCATATTTCCATGAAGTACGGGTTCATGGGCCCCAGCCATTCCGCAACGACGGCTTGCACGACTGGTGCCCATTCCATTGGCGACGCAGCTCGGTTTATTGCCTGCGGTGACGCAAATGTGATGGTCGCCGGTGGCGCCGAGTCCTGTATCCATCCTTTGGCCATTGGCGGCTTTGCGCGCGCAAGAAGTCTAGCGACAGGATTCAACGACACCCCAGAGAAGGCGTCAAGGCCGTTCGATGCCGACCGTGCGGGCTTTGTGGTTGGAGAAGGCGCAGCCGTGATGATTCTTGAGGTACGTGTCCTGCCTCTTATGCGAATACTACAACCTGATACTGATGTATGAAATGTAGGAACTTGAACATGCCCTCGCAAGAGGGGCGCGGATCTATGCAGAACTCAAAGGATATGGCTGCTCCAGTGACGCGCACCATATGACATCGCCTAAGGAAAATGGCGAAGGCGCATTCATGGCTATGAAAAAGGCGCTTAAGCAAGCCCAGTTACGCCCTGCCGCGGTTGACTACGTCAATGCACATGCGACTTCGACCATTGTCGGCGACGCTGCTGAGAACGCTGCTATCAAGGCGCTGCTGCTTGGCCCCGATGGTAAAGATAAGGCTGGTGATGTGAACGTTAGCAGCACAAAGGGTGCCCTTGGTCATCTGCTTGGCGGTGCTGGCGCTATAGAAGCTTTGATCAGTGTACTTGCAATCCATGAGGTGAGTTGCAGTTATGCACCAGACATACTGTGCTAGGTCTCGTGCTAACAAGGAACAGAACACCATGCCGCCTACCATCAACCTAGACCGCATGGCTGATGGGTTTAATTGCAACTATGCGCCGAAAGATCCTCAGTCACGACAGATTGATGTTGCCTTAACGAATAGCTTTGGCTTTGGTGGCACAAACAGTAGCCTTTGCTTTGCAAATTATTCATGATCTTTGATTCTAGCATGCAATATTGTACGATATTTCGATATTTTTGTGTCAACTACCACTATGTGGCTATTTTGGGGCCAGAAGCTTGGCAGGTACTTATT